TATAGTGTATTCCTGGTCAGCTGGGGCTACAGGGAGACCCTGTCTCAAAAAGACAAAAAGAAGAAAAAGAAAAGAAAAAGAAACAAAAATCTGCAAAAGTAGGGATCAAAGTGAAACATAAGAACATGGGAACAGGAAGGAAACCTGTGGATACGTTCTATTTCTACTCCCTATGGACAGCTTTTGCTTCTAGAAGGCAGTATACATGAGGCTGGAGACAGGGCTCAGCAGCTAAGAACACACAGTGCTCTAGCAGAGAATCTGAGTTTGGTTCCTAGCACCTACATCAGGTATCTTACAGGCAGCCTGTAACTCCAGCTCCTTGGAGATCTAACGCCTCTGGTCTCTGGGGCCACCTGCACTCGTGTGCATATACCCACAAATACACATATATATATATATATATACAATTATAAAAATAAAAAAAACAAGGCCGGGTGTGGCGGCACACACCTGTAATTCCAGCATTTGGGAGGTAGAGGCAGGCAGATCTTTGTGATTGAGGCCAGCCTGGTCTACATCATAGTGAGTTCTAGGACAGCTGGGGCTACAGGGAGACCCTGTCTCAAAAAGACCAAAAAAATTAAAAATAAATAAATAAATAAATACAACAGCAACACAGGCACACAGGAAAAAGTGGTAAAAATAATGTTTAAAAATAATATAAATTCTACAACATATAAATACTGTGAAAATCAAAGAGTTCTAATGCAATTACTATTTTGATTCCTTTTATCGTTCACTGCAAGAACATATTGTTTTTTGTTTTTTTGTCTTTTCAAGAGAGGGTCTCCCTGTAGCCGCAGCTGGCCTGGAACTCACTATGTAGACCAGGCTGGCCTTGAACTCACAAAAAAAAAAATCCGCCTGCCTCTGTTTCTCTAGTGCTGGGAGTAAAGGCATGCACCACCACACCCAGCTTACATCTTTTTAAAAATATATTTTTTATTATTATTTATGTGTATGAGTGTATTTCCTGTATGTGTGTAAGTGCACCCATGTCATGTAATGCCTGAGGAGGTCAGAAGGGGATGGATTTCCTGGAACTGGAGTTACGGACAGTTGTTAGCAGCCATATGGGTGCTAGGAATCGAACCCGGGTCCTCTAAAAGAGCAATCAGTGCTCTTAACCACTGAGTCATCTCTCCAGTTCCGTTTAAAATTATTTTTAGCAGCCGGGCATGTTGGCGCTAAACTTGCTTTACGCCTCTACTCCCAACACTCTGAGAGGCAGAGGCAGGTGGATCTCTGTGAGTTCAAGGCCAGCCTGGTCTACATAGGGAGTTCTAGCCCGGCTGGGGCTACAGGGAGACCCCGTCTCAATAAGACCAAAATTTTTATTACGTGTACGAATATTTTGCCTGTATGTAAGTGCACCCATGCATGCAGTCCCTGCATACAGGTCAGAAGAGGGTGTTGGATCCCCTGGACCTGGAGTTAAGGATAGTTGTTAGCTACCATGTGGGTGCTAGGAACTGATTAGGTCTTCTGTAAGAGCAGCAGATACTCTCAACTGCTGAGCCAGCTCTCCAGCCCCACTTTCTTTTTTTGAGACAGGGTCTCACTAGGTAGCCTAGGCTGGCCTCAAACTTCTTCCTCAACCTGCTGGGTGCTGGAATTATGGTGATGCACCACCAAACCCACCAAACTACCCTCCCCCAGGTTTCGAATCCCAGCACCCACATGGCAGCTAACAACTGTCCGTAACTCCAGTCCCAGGGGATCCAAAAGCCTCTTCTGACCTCTGCGGGTATTGCACGACATGGGTGCACTTACATGCTGGCAATACACGCATACACATAAAACAAAAATAAATGAAATTTAAAAAAAAAAGACTATTTTGTTATTCTGGTAATTTTACAAGGCTACTAAATTAGATTCTTCTTTCATCATAAAAACAATGTCTCGCTGAAGGAACCCAGAAATGTTGATCCTAAAATGGCAATTTCAAAAACAAAGACAAAATCTACCCACTGACCCAGGAATGGGGAGGGGGTGGGGAGAATTTTAGCATGTATAAGTGACACAAAGAAGTCCAGTTAAAAACTACATAACCAGCCGGGCGGGTGGCGAACGCCTTTAATCCCAGCACTTGGGAGGCAGAGGCAGGCAGATCTCTGTGAGTTCAAGGCCAGCCTGGTCTACACAGTGAGTTCCAGGACAGCTGGGGCTATAAGGAGACCCTGTCTCAAAAAGACAAAAAAAAAAAAAAAAAAAAAGGCTATGCCATTTCTAAACTCATCTTCACCCACTGGTCTGATTTAACATTTTTCAAAACCACATTCATCTCTGGTTTATCCATTAGGATTTTTAGTTTGGCTTGGTTGGGGTCTTCACTAGTTGAGATTGTGATAGGAACCATCCACTGAGGACAGTCTTCACCTAAGCAAGAGAAGAATGAAGAGACAGCTTGAAGACAATTTTATATTCAAAGAAACAGCAAACAGATGGTAAAGTAGACAATGGTAGCTTGGCAGTGTTCTAACCATGCCCTGACCCTAAGTGTCACGCCAATACCATATTCTTACACTACTATTCTTCCAGGTGACCCGAATAGTATTATTACAAAGTAAAACATAAAGTACTATCAAGATCACTGTAGTCTAAAAAGAGATTAGTCAACCCATACAATAAGAAATGTAGTGGGGGCGGGGGGCTAGACAGATGGCTTAGTGGTTAAGAACACTGGTTGTTTTTGCAGAAGACCAGGATTCGAATCCCAGCACCCACACAGCAGCTAACAACTGTCTGTAACTCCAGTCCCAGGGGATCCGACAGCCTCTTCCAACCTCTGCGGCCATTGCTTGACATGGGTGCACTTACCTACATGCAGACAATACACACATACACATAAAATTAAAAAAATTTAAAAAAAAAGAAATGTAGCTGGGCATGGTGGTGTACACCTTTAACCACAGCACTCGGGAGGCAAAGGCAGGCAGATTTCTGTGAGTTCAAGGCCAGCCTGGTCTACATAGTGAGTTCCAGACCAGTTGAGGCTACAGGGAGACCCGTCTCAAAAAAGACAAAAAAAAGAAAAAGAAAAGCAGATCTGTAGTCAAGAACAAAGAAATATTACTATGTGGAGGGAAAAAAATGCAAGGGATGGAAAAGTCACTTAGTAGTTAAGAGTCCATGCTGCTCTTGGAAAGGACCAGAGTTTCATTCCCAGCACCCAAATCCGAAGGACAGCTCAGAACCTACTATATCTCCAGAAGATTCAATGCCCTCTTCTGGCCTCCTTAGGCATATGTGTGTGTTGGTACAATTTACATGCAGGGAAAATACACATAAAATTTAAAAAAATCTACATACGAGCTAGGCGTGGTGGCGCACGCCTGTAATCCCAGCACTCTGGAGGTAGAGGCAGGTGGATCTCTGTGAGTTCAAAGACAGCCTGGTCTACATAGTGAGTTCCAGGCCAGCTGGGGCTACTGGGAGACCCTGTCTCAAAAAAAAAAA